TTTTTTATTATTATTTTCATTAATTCGATAACCTCCAACTATGCCACATTAGATAGCGGGCATACTACAGTTCTCGATTAATCATTACCGGTAATCAGTCTTGCAACCCTGGCTGGGCCTGTAATTTTATCCTTAATAGTGGCCTTAAATCAGGCCCAAAAAAAAAAAAAAAACAAAAAATATTCAAATATATCCAAGTTAAACAGACTGTCTTCTCATTCAAGAAAGGAAATTCACCAGAAATTCTCAAACAATTGAGGCGGCAGATGGCTTTGGAGGCTTTTTCGTCACAGGCCAGCGATAAAGTTCACGCAGATGTTCTCTCGAAAGCAAGGCTCGCTTGTTACAAGGTACCCCTAATCGCTTCGTTCCAATCTTATTGCCGTTTTGAGTATCATATAATGAAGAACGAACTACAATTTTGTTTTTCGAGAATTTATGTCGAATATTGCTAAATAGCTGAATCTTGAATCCCGTAAAGGCGCGGGACGCATTCTACGCGTGCCTAGAGAGAGAATCGAACAAGAAACCCACGGAAATTGCGTCTGTAGGGCTTCTTTACCCAGTCGAGTGCAAGCGAGTTAGGGATCAGTACGTGAATCAGTGCAGACCCACTTGGGTAATTTCTTTCGATCTCAATCAATCAATTGACATCTTTGGTTAATTTATTTATCATCGTAGTTATTGTTGTTGATTAAATCAACTTTGTTGCGTGTAGGTGAAGCATTTCGACCGGCAGTATTGTGCGAAGAAGAAGGTTCAGAGGCTTTTGGATGATAACGAGTCAAGGAGAGGTCCGTTGTCACTTCCACAGCCTTCTACATTTAAAACCCCCACCCAATAGCTGTTGAAGATTTTGAATTTATAAATCAGATCATTAGTGCATTATATAATCCCTAGTATTTGAACCTGATGACAGGGCTATTGTGCGAGCACGAGATTTTTGTTAGGAAAATGTGGGAGTGGTTGTGTTTTGGCTGACAGTACAATTTGCATATCTGTGTAGGCATAATGATATTATGTGAATGATGATAGGATTTGGAGTTTGAAATGCAAGACTTTATGAATCAATATTTTTGAGGAATGATGAGCATGGCTGTTTTCTCAGTGTTCCTTATTGCCTTTTTTATGAATCAAATAGAATAAGTTCAAATTCATGGCTCATTGGCTTGGGTTGAATTTGGCAGGAGTTTAAACTCCGTGGGTTTGCCTCTTGATTTCGAGTCGTTACAAATTTTCAAGTCATAAGGAGGAATTGTAGCTGACTTGCATTTGGCCTAACGTCAGTTGAAAGTCTTTCTCTGTTTGTTTGTTTATTTGTTGAAATGGTGAAAAGAAGAATGCCACTTAGTAAGAGTTGTTCCTTCTTTTTGCACATTTTTCCTTTTCCTTTTTATTTTTCGCTTTTTTGTAACATTTAAATAAATTCAGGATAATGAATTCATTTGATGTATTAATCAGATTCACTCTGTTTCTTTGTGTTATATGCTGATTAGTACTTTCTCCTACGCATTTTCTCCATAATCAGTCCGTTTTCTTGTTTATAGATCTTGATGTACTACTTGTGTCTTATTTATCGCATATGCTGTCATTCATAGGTGGCTTGCTGATCTGCACAGCTTGAATTACCTCAATGTGTTGTGCAAACCAGAAAATGCTGAAATGATTGATAAAAACAGCTCATATATAAAGAGAGTGTATGCAAAATCTTACAATTACCTTGTTTAGGTTGAAACATGAGTATTTTTTGATAGAACTAGAGCAGGACTTTTATTTTATGTTTTTGCCTGTCTTTTTAGCATGAGCATAGACTGCATAGTGTCCTTTTTGCTTCATAAATGATGTGCATATGTATGAAATGGAAGGCTATTTGATCATAAGTATGCTTCTCATCCATAATGATATATGACAAAATTTATTCAGATTTTTCCTTCTTTTATTTTTCTTTTATGCTTCTTTTATTTTTCATTACATTAAGTGTGTGATTTTCATTGATGCACACAACGAGATTGAGTGAAATTTACAA